AAATAACTAATATAACTCGGGCTAAATTTCACATTGCAAATAGAGTGCAGTAGATGCTTGCTCAGGGTTCATAGCCACATTTTAGTTGAAAAAATAAGCACCTATGAGCACTTTTAAAGCACATTTTAAGAAAAAAATAAGCACCTGTCTAATTACATTATACACAACTGCATAACCTTAAAAGAAAAATTAGACTTGTAATTTAAAATATGAGTAATGCAATATTTATTAAGAGAATGTGCATTACCTCAACAATGGAAAACAATTAACTTTTTTTTTTTAAATTTTAAATGACAGTTCAATTTACAGAATTAGTTTACAATGAGAGGAAAAAAAAAACTATGCAGAACTAAACTTTATTACAAAATTTAATGATGATATTTCAGTTGAAAATATAGAAAATGAATAATAATAAGCTATATTAATTGTATTCGTTTGGCACCTAATAATAAATACAATTTATTTTTCCACTCATATTAACATTTAAATAATTTAACTTAAATCAAAATTCTGAACATTTTCTAAATTTTCATTGCATAACAGTTTTCCCTTAATATAAATTTAGGCTAAATAAATGATTTTGACATTTCGATATGTGCATCATATAAAAACCAACGGAACTGAGAAATATTCTGCTTAGAAAGCACAGTAAAACTCTTTTAAGTGTTCATAAACAAATCTCAGACTGAACATCAAAATTAATTACCAATGCAAAATACCGCAAACGTTATTGCGCAATACGTGCGACATAATTCTTCCATATGTGATATTACGCAATCGGAATCAACACCTGCCGGTATTCGGAGAAAGAAGAAGAAATAAATAAAGGAAAAAGAAGAGACTTACTAATCTGGGGTTTTTGTTTCTGATTCTAATTTTCACAGACTGTATTAAATTTCTGTAATAGAATCAATCTTCGCTTGGGTTGAGTAGACCGCAAAAACTTTTGGTCCTATTCAATCCAGATTGGACAGTAACAAAAAAAAAAAAAAAAAAAAAAAAAAAAAAAAACGTTGCTTCAATATTAGAGATTTTGCGGAGAAACTCCCAACCTCCATACTGTATAATGTATTGGCAAAGAAAATGAAATTATTTTGACTATTCGATCACTTTCTTTTATTTAAGCCATTCAGAATATTATTCCATAGAAAGCTAATCTGTGTAAAAACACACCAATTTTTGGAAGTTATCTATACTTCAGCAGTTACTGCAATTATATTATTATAAATTTCATACATATGCTCATAATATACGCATAACGATCATAATAAACACGAATATGAACTGACCACGCGGAACGAGAATGCAAATTTATTAAAATTTTGATAGAAATTCAAACGTGTGTAGTATTTGGGTAGGAAGAAAAGAATACCGAATGTACCGGAATTTTCTACGCTTTCGCAATTGTTTGGCCAATAGAACGACGTGCACCTGTCTGTACTCTCGCGCACACTTTAGGTTACGTTAATGCAGAGGAAGGGGGGAAGCAATTTTCGGGAGTATGATTCACCATCTGACATTGCATATAAGGAATAAAAGTTTTTTATTTAGTTTCTCCTTTGGTACGGGGAAAAAATGCGCGTTCATTAAAAACAAAGGATTAAAAAGTAAGCACTAAAAGCAAAAAATAAGCACTAAACAAAAAAATAAGGGCTTTAAAGAAAAAGTAAGCACCTATAAGGGCCTTTATATTTTATTTTAAAATATAAGGACTTATAAGCACTTGTAAGGACCGCTACGAAAACTGTTGCTAAACTTTATGATGACAGCTGCGAATTGGAAGGTTTTCAGATAACAGAAAAATAAGCAAAATCTTCCCATTAATGGAATTTGTGAAAAATATGGAGAAGCGAAAATAAATAAAGATTATATAACAGATGGTTTCCATTTTGATGACAATACCCCAATTATCAATTAGCTAACGGATTGTAAAATCGGTAGTAGGGTTTTAAATCCAGAAAATATCACTACTCATAGTGAAGAAAGTTACAGAAAGGTTGATAAAAACAATACAATTTTGGATGGCAATTTAGTAGGAATTCATGACACAATAATTACATTACTTGAACAATGGAACTGTATAAGAAATTACATCCATCTCTAAAATTAAAGAGAAAGTGAAGCAGCTTGACTGAAAAACTGAAAGAAATGTTTAATAAAGCAAACAAATAAATACTAAGGGATTTTTTTTTTTTTTTAAATTTGTATTCCCTTAAGGCAGTGGCGGCTCCTCTATTTGTGCACAGAGCCCCCACAGGCAAATGAAGAAATAAATTTATTAACAAATTAAATAACATAATATTAAACACACAAAGAATCTTCTTATTTCTTTATTATTCCTATTTTTCAATACACTACAAAGTCCGTAAGCCGGACGTCCACTATCCGGAATGATCTATAATCCGGACCTCAAAGCCAAAAACATTTTTTTTTTTTTTTTTGTATGCTTTACGTATGCACGTTTAATGCGCGCTTCCGATAGTGAAGAAAGTGACAGAGAAGTTATTGAAAACGAAAAAATTTTGATTGACAAGTTAGTCGGTATTCTCGACACAGCAACTACAGGACTTGAACAGCGGAACTTTGTAACTGAACAAGAAATTATGTCTGTTTATAAAATTAAAGAGAAAGTATTAGCACAAAAAACGAAGCACTTAAACAACTTACATTGAAAGAAATGTTTAATAAAGTAAACAAATAAAGATTAAGCTGTTTTTTGTAAATTTTGATACCCTTTAGATCATAATTGCTCTTTATTTCATAAATTATGGTTTCATATTTTTAATTGTATAATTTCTGCATGCCATCTTACCAGATTTAAATTGATGATCTATAACCTGGAATCGCCAAAGGCCCGACAAGTCCGGATTATGGACTGCAAACAGTTAAGCACTTAGTAGAATCAATGTTTCGGAACTACACTTTTCAATGTTGTTTTTGGAAGGAAAATTTCAAAAGAAATTACTCAGTTACCTTTGCTAAACTTACTTTACCCAGGTGATGAAATGTAAGGATAAAGATTTTAAAAGGGAAATCAAATCCTATTTCTATAAAAAATATTTTGGGATGTGTGGATGAGGATGAATTAACGGACTGTTTCACTTTCCATGTCTACTGCTAGCAAAACAGAATGGTGATTCAAGTTGTTTGAGTTTCGGTGTTCCTGAACTATTACACCTAAGTCAGAAAATTAAAATGCTTGAATACTCATAGTCACATTTAAACTCCATCTTAGGATTTAATTTGTTAGTAAAGATGAATATTCACGAACAACTTGACAGTGTATTTCATTCAAAAGTTAAAACACCGGATGATAAGGTTGAGGAAAATCATCATGTTATTAAAAAAAAATATTGACTGCATTCCGTTTTGCGGTGCATTTGAGCTTGATGGACATTTGAGGACATGACAAAAGCAAGGGTTTGTTAAATCTGGGAGTTTTCAGAGGTCTCATCAACTTCTCAACAGTAACTGATTCAAAGGAATCAGTTAAATCCCACCTCACTGGTGCCAATATTTTTAAAGGAATGTAAAAAGAAATTTAAAAAATGATTAGACTACATGCTTACTATTTGTCAGAAGCACATAAAAAATGGGATCTCAAAAGTAAGTTTTGTTTCAGTAATAACAGATGAAACTACTGATATGTCATCCACTTCCAAATTTACAATTTGTTGTCGTTTTTCGATACAATTTAAGTAAGGGACAACTAGTAGAAAAATCTGGGAATTCACCTGAGCATGATAAAAAATATATAGCTGAATGTATCCATGCAAATTTAGAAACAGTAGTAGTCAAACATGAGAAATTAATATTGCAGAGCTATGACTGTGCAAGCGTGATAAGTGGTCATTACTTAAAACAACTTACATTGAAAGATATGTTTAATAAGGTAAACAAATAAATATTAAGCATTTTTTTGTTAATTTTGATAAATACTTCATTATTTCATAAATCACGATTTCATATTTTTAATTTTATAATTTCTACATGCAACCTTACTAGATTTAAACTGATCATCTATTATCTGGGAAAATCCCAAATCCGGAATTGCCAAAGTCCCAATTTCGGACTTTGTACTGTAACATGAAATTATTATAATCCAAAGGTTATATTTTCACAGCTGGTATAAGAGGGGTGAAAAAATGTTTCTTTGAAGCCAATACTTGATTACACTAAGATATGTTTTGACCTCTAACTGTAAATTTGATTCAAAATTTACTGCATATCAATTCAAATGTCATTGCAGTGTAATAAAAGCACAGTTTTTAGCACTATGTTTCGAATATAGTATTGAAAATATACAAAAAAAAAATTTGCTTACATAATACTAAAATAAATTGTCTCAACAGAGTCTTGCATTGGTGATACATAATACCTAAGTAAATCATTAATCACTACGAAATTCTGTGTGATATATAAATTTTCTACATCTGGGTTAATACATATGTAAAACTATACATGTCTTATTTAGGGAGTCTTAAGAGTATTTCTTCATTTATTAACATTTGTCAACTTCCCCAACTATGAAAAATCCGGATTACATAAAAGTGTGGCTTCTGATCACTTCTTGCATAAATCTGACAGGTCCAAAGGCTATTATGGGAAAAAAAAATACAAAATAATAATTTAACAGGCTAAATATTTATTTCGGTATAGTATAAATAAGTTGTAGCATTTTAAAATACCAATCTACTATGCAGTAATAAAAAAAAAAAAAAAAAAAAAAGGGAAAGGAATACAAAAGGTATTTAGAGAAATTTTAGAAAGGAATACGAAATACTGAACTCCGCAGTTCAAAGTTGTTTTCTTTAAACTTCAGAAATGTCGTCATCTTTTTCCTCATACTGTGAACTTCGTATAAGCATCTACTTAGAATGCATAATTGCCCGCTTAAATAAATTTATATTTCGTTAATGAGGCTCGGATAAGGATCTTGTGATTTTCCATATATATTTTTTTTTGCACTCATCCTATTTTCGATTTAGCTAGAAACTTACATTCCAGTTTGGCACGAGAAAGTGGCGTGAATTTGAGTATTTCTCGCACCATTACTCAGCATTTGATTAGTATTTCAAAAAGAAATGTATTGATTATGAAACTCATTCTATATGAAAACATTACTCAGAAGAAGGGAAAATTATTCAGAATAACAAACATAATTTAAATACATAAAACTACTTATAAGCATACTTGGAGGCAAACAAAGTAGATAGATGATTTGTTTTGCACGCCCTAAGTCTTTTTTCCCAATGTAAAACAAGTCAAACAATAAAAGGATAAATTGGCATGAAGGCAAAAGGAAATTCGTAGCAAATGATACGAATTTTTATTCACAAAGCCAAATCCGTGATTTAAAATAAAATGAAATAAATACCCAGACTATGTAAAAAAGTTCGATGGCATAAATTAGATAGATACAGAAGTTGAAAGAGAAGAGTGAATAATCAAACAATTCACACTATTTACTTCGAATATTCTTCCGAGAACAGCCTTGGTTGGGCCAACTTGGGCAAACGGCAATTCATGCGCAGTGACTATACAGTCATATGTGATGTTTGTTTATTTTATTCAATAAAACAGTGTTTGGATATTTTAATTATTTGTTATTCAGTTTGTTATGATGAGTTTTTAGCACGCGGGTGTAAAAGCTCCTTTATTCAGCGGAAATTTACATAAACATCGGAGAATTGACGAAGTGTATTATAAATTTTGTAATATTGCATATATTTGTTTCCTTTTTTTTTTTTTTTTTTTCTTACTGCCTGATAATTCCAGCAGTTTAATAAATCACTTCAGCGCATTTATGATGGCTGTGGCTCATTGCAGGTAAATGTTCATTTCTAATATTTATTCAAACTTCTGTATTTGTAAAGTATTGATATCAAATTGTTTTTCATATGAGATTCATTTTGTTTTTGCATGGATAAATGATGAGGTTAGTTCATCCACGTTGAATGTATTAATTGCGTTATAAATCTATTATCGGTATTCACACTTTACAAAAGAGGATTCTTATTCTTATTTCTGCTTGGCCAATTTGATTCTGTAATGTTTATCAGTCCTTCTACGAGTAAATTAACTAATAAAATGAACATCACTTGCGGAACTAGGTTAAATTTATTAACTTACTATTTTATGTATACCCACACGTTTTACATTCCAAATGAAAATTTTTGCAGAAATTTTCGTATTAAAATGTTTCTTTAATCTTTACTCGTAACAGTGGCATAGTTTTTCTTTCCAAAAACATTCGTAATGATATGGATGAAATGATGGATATTATAAATATTTATTTTGATGTTATAGATAATATACTTTTTATTCTATATATTTTATTATGTGATCTTATTGTATGAACTTTTAACAAGACAGCAGAGGAAAATTTGGTTGATCTTTACATTACGGTAACTTGGCGATTTTTTGGCGAAAATTTGGCGACCAACTCCCCTACAGCAACCCTCTATTTTTTTTTCCCCCGCCGCCATTTTGTCTTCACGAAGTAAAGACATGTTTCTTTTCTTCTTATCTACTGAACACTTCTTCCAACAATCTACTAGCCGAATTACACTTATGCTAGAAATTTTATCAAACAAAACTGCTTAATCATGACAAATATTCACTGCAAAATTCGGAAAAAAGAGCACAATACCATACACCTTACGCGTTTTTCAAATAACACATACACATAAACCATGTACACGCCAACTTATTTTTACTTAAAAAAACATCCCAGAATTGCCACAAAAATGGCATTGCGCACACTCTTCTCTATATCCATGTACACTGCTTTTTTCTCATAAATTCGAAAAATTTCACGAAAATACATGACAATTTTCTCAATCTTTAAACCCGGTGTAAAAAGAACATATATGAAATTACCTGATCACGAAAAAGTATTTTTACCCTTTACAAATATGAACATTTCCACATATAAAATAAATAAAATATCCAAAAACTTTTACCTCTAAATCATCTATTACATTATACACGTCACCAACGAATTCATACATGAAGCATTACAAATATTTAGTATCAAATATTTAAATTATTTCCATGCACGTTTATTTCAACTTAAACGTAAACCAAATTCCTACAAGCATAAAATTCACAAATAACTATCATTTCATTAAAATATCACTGAACCATGTACACGTCGACTTATTTTTACTTAAAAAAACATCCCAGAATTGCACAAAAATGGCATTGCGCACACTCTTCACTATCCATGTACACTGCTTTTATCTCATAAATTCGAAAAATTTCACGAAAATACACGACAATTTTCTCAATCTTTAAACTCGGTAAAAAGAACATATATGAAATTACATGATCGCGAAAAAGTATTTACCCTTTACAAATATGAACAGTTGCCACATATAAAATAAATAAAATATCCAAAAACTTTTACCTCTAAATCATCTATTACATTATACACGTCACCAACGAATTCATACATGAAGCATTACAAATATTTATTATCAAAATATTTAAATGATTTCCATGCACATTTATTTCAACCTTTTTAAACATACACCAAATTCCTACAAGTATAAATTCACAAAATATACTATCATTTCATTAAAATATAATTAAATTCAAAAACACCACTTAAAATATACATGAGCACATACATTCAATTAATAAAAATTACCTTACAATCCTAATACTTAAACTAAATCATTGCTAATAACAATTTTCCCAATAATACCAAATTCCTTTACTTCCACCTACATTTAGAACAATGCATAAAAAAAATATATCCCAAATAATTAAAAATACTAAATTACCTAATCTTCTTCAGAATCTTGATTACGTGTCCGATAAACTTTTCTTCTTTCTGTTTCAGGATCTTTAAAATCATAATTATATTTCACAGCAAGGTACAGGTAAAATAAATAACTTAATAAAACATCTTTATTTCTATCTTGCAAAACCTTAAAGAAACATTTATACTACCCTTTTCAATACCACTAAATACCCATTTCGAATTCACTTTAGTTACGGCCATGGGATCCAAAAATTCACAAACACTATTTCACACAACAGAATAAAGCCAAATACAAAATTTCCAGATTTTTTCCCGATTTGCCCCCTTTTCCGATTAAAGAACCGTAATTCGTCCATTAATATCACATGACATATCCCATGATCTCTCATTTCCCCCACACAAAATAATGCGTAATCGGAACTCAGTACTGCTCACATTATTACCAAAGTTCCAGATAGTAACCTTTATCGCCTCCAAAATGTCGCCAAACTACCAGTTACCGTAATGTAAAGATCAACCGAAAATTTTCATTAAAATATACAGTTTTTTTACTCCCATACACTGATTTCTCCTAATTAAGTTATTAAAAAAAAAACAGATTGTCCTTCTGTTCATACCTTGTGGAATTGTTAACTAAGTATAAATTTTTTATATCAAAAGTTTAATTTAGAAAGGTCCAAAGTTGAAATTATTGAAAGAAATTGATGTATGTAACTGTCTAAAAGACAAAACAGACAACTACTGAGATTCGATGATAGTTTTTTTCCTTTAGGAAAGGAATATTTTTTCACCTTTGCTAGCGTAGAAGTTAATTTTGGAAATCTGTACAAGATAGCTAAAAATTAATGTTGCTCTCATCAAATGGAAGGAAGAGTGCTATTAAATATAATATTTGGTAAAATATATTTACGGGTACCCCTTGGCGAAATGTGGCGATTTTGGGCAGTACATGGATACCGAGTTTGTGCAATTCTTTGACCTGCTATCTTGGCTTGTGTAGCGGCGATTTGCCACTACACAAAGCCAAAATAACAAGACAAAGAATTGCACAAACTTGGTATCCATGTACACATTGATCTAGTTTCACTTTTAAAAAAAATCATTCCAGAATTGCAAAATAAATCGCATTGCACACTCCCTTGACTTTATCCATGTACACATCGACCTATTTTCACTTAAAAAAAATCAGCGAATTGCACAAACTAGGCTTTATGCACTCCCTTGACTTTATCCATGTATATGTCGAGCTATATTCACTTAAAAAGTCAAAGGAGCAGGCGACAAAAATATATAATCTCAATAAACTACAGTTAATCTTCAGATTATGGTAACTTGGCGAAAATTTGGCGACCAACCCTGCTACAGCAACCTGGTAGTTTTTTTTTTTTTTTTTTTTTTTTGGATGCCATTTTGTTTTCACGAAGTAAGGTTTTTTTTTTTTTTTTAAACTTAACATTTTTTTCCAACAATTGCTAGTTGAATACGCTTATGCTAAACTTTTTGGAACAAAAGTCTTAATCATGACGAAGATTAGGGCAAAATTGGGAAAAAGTGCAGAAATCGCCCACTGCTTGCCGCGTTTTTAAGAATTGCACATACACGGTATCCATGTACACGTCGACCTATTTTCACGGCTGATCTTTTAGGACTTTGATAATAATGTGAGAAGTACTCAGTTCCGATTACGCGTTATTTTGTGTGAGGAAAAAGAGAGATCATGAGACATGTCATGTGACATTAATGGACGAATTACAGTTCTTTAATTGGAAAAGGGGAGTAAAATTTGGAAAAATATCTGTAGTACTATATTATTTTGTATTAAGCTTCATTGTGGTTGTGTGAAATAGTGTTGATTAATTTTCGGATGCATGGCGCTATGTAAAGTGAATTGTAAATTTTTAATGCGTTTATCTGATAATTAATAATAAGTTGAGATTGTGGTGAAAGGAAGGATATTACAGATAAGTTTGAATGGCGGTGCAAGAAATCTGGTGAAAATGGACATTTTTAAAACGGAGTGTAAGGAAGGTGGTTTGCTGAAAGTAGTTTGAGTAGGGTGAAATTTTATTACTTTCTTATTACTGGGGGAATAGACTGCCAGTTGACTACTGGATTCGGATTTAGAAATTAGCAGTAGTACTGCAAGCCGATTGGAACTCTTTCTGTAGGGAAGTGTGCGTGCCACGTAATGAAGATTCTGAAGATTAGGTAAGTTAGTATTTTTAATCATTTGAGGATATTATTTTTATGCATTGTTCTAAATGTAAGGAGTAAATAAATTAATATGATATTATTGGAAAATTGTTATTAGCAATGATTTAGTTTAATGTAATTAGGATTGTAATCTAATTTTTATTAATTTAATGTATGTGCTTATTTATATTTTAAGCAGTGTTTTTTAATTTAATTATATTTTAATTTAATGATCGTGATTTTGTGAGTTATATATTTGTAGTACAGTCTAAAGTTGTTAATCCGGACTCGTCGGGACTTCGGCGATTCCGGATTATCGATTTTTCCGGATTATAGATCATCAGTTTAAATCTCGTAAGATGGCATGCAGAAATTCTAAAATTAAAAATATGAAACCGTAATTTATGAAATAAAGAACAATTATGATCTAAAGGGTATCAAAATTTACAAAAAAAAAAAAAAAAAAAAAAGCTTAATATTTATTTGTTTACTTTATTAAACATTTCTTTCAATGTAAGTTGTTTAAGTTGCTTCGTTTTATGTGATAATACTTTCTCTTTAATTCTATAAACAGACATAATTTCTTGTTCAGTTACAAAGTTCTGCTGTTCAAGTCCCGTTAATTTCTGTGCCGAGAATACCGACTAACTTGTCAATTGAAATTTTTTCGTTTTCACTAACCTCTCTGTCACATTCTTCATGTCTTTATCCATTTTTTGCAGCAATTCCACTTTTTGTTTGTTGGACATCGAAACATACTTTCGTTTTGTAGATCCTTTGGAAGTTCCAGCATTGGAAATTCTATTTGGCATAATCGAAAGTTCAAGTTTACTTTTATAAAATTGCTCTTACAGTGTGCAAAAAA